CTGTCACCCCTGGTCCTGAGGGGTTCATCTGTCCTAGATTCCCTGCGTTTCCAATTCCCATCTGTACCGCTGTGCATCCTCTGGTCTAACCAGGTCTGCAAGGCAGAATTGGGGTCCTGGTAGTTGGGGGGCTAAATCTTTTTTTAAAAATCAGGCCTAGATATATTTTAAGCAACAAGCATCATTTTCAAAACTCCATTCTCCAAAAGACATGAAACAAAAAGCACATTTTAGTATACTTTTTACGTACTTCAAAAACTTTGTAGAGAAATGGAATTAAAAGGTAATGGAATTTCCACACAAAAATTGTAAAGCCCCCTTGTCCTAATTATCAATGTTGCATTTAGACTTTGAAGCAGTTTTACTATCACCATTGACATTCTACCCTATTTTTAGTCTGATCTTTAAGGCAGAAAACCTATGGACCACAAGTAATACATTTGAGATAGAGATAGAGAGCAGAATTGCCAGAAATTAGTTTTAGATTTAAAAAGTGCTCCTTTATCATCTTAAATTTGCTCACCCTGTGAGTTAGCTAGCCTGGTAAAATCAGGATAATATATTGGACCTTCCCCAAGATATGATACAGGGAAAAATATATAATTAGCTTTTGACTCAAGGAATTACTGAAGAAAATGAAACTTGTATTCTACTGTCTACATTTCTATTTTTTTTTTTAGCAATGATTATTTCCTATAACATCCCTTTGTGCCCCCAGCAAAAAAAGACTATTAGGTTGGATAGATCAGATTTCTGATTCAATTGGTTAATTCTTAGAATATGAACAGATGGCTGGGTTTATGAAGTATCAGGGAGCTTCAAAAAGTCTGTGGAAAATGGAATGAAAAGATAATGGAATTTTCCATAAACTTTTTGAAATCATCTATGGAGTAAAGAGATCAAAATAAACGATACAAGAGGAACAAGAAATAAAAATATCTCCTATTCTTGGAAGAACGTTTTCTTGCTTAGAAGGCAAGAAAAGTTTTCTAAGAGGAAAGGGGAAGGTAATGTTTGAGTTTTTATAATTTCCCACAACTTGCAATACTATCTTAAGTTTCAGGTGGTAGTGGAAGTAACAGGCTCTTTTTTTAACATTTAGGTTTGTTATAGACTTTCCTGACCTGACTTTTATAAGGATAACGCAGTTCGTATGGACTAAATGCTTTAAGGTCCTTAGAAAAAAATGTACCAGTTTAAGAATTTTATTATTGTAACAAAATACGAACGTTGCAATTTTCCTACGGTTAGGATTATTATTTTAATTAGCTAAAGTTATAAATAAGTAAAAGAGATAAGTACCTTTCATAAACTTTTTAAATGACTTCTGGAAAATTCAAAGAGTGGAAGGAAAAATATAGATTTACTACTATCCACACTATGCTCCAGTGAGGCACAACCGGGAACCTCCCTGAACACACTTCATTTCAGCTCCTGGTCTTAGTTAGACCAAGAGCCAACTCTTAGCACTGTCTACAAAATGGAGCCCTTTTCCAGGAAGCAACGACAACAACAATACTAATCGTGTAAAAGCAAGATCTGCTTTTGCCTTCCGGTATCCATCCCCGAAATCCCTTCACTTGACCCTCTGCATCAAGGCAAGAGCAATGTTGAATTCTACGCTAACACTTCAAGGAAATGGACACAAAAACATCAACGTGAAAATTTAAAGGGTAAGTGATCCTAGAATTTCTTCAGGCACTTCTAATCATCAAACAGTTCTTCACTATTTAAGTTAAAGCAGCCCTCAGTAGCTTAAGCCTCTTAATTTTTTGTTGACAGATGAGAATAATAAGCATGGTTCCTCATGTCTCCTTTTTGTCTTTTCTCCTGATTGAAAAAAATCTAGTTAACTTCAATATTTTTCTTTAAAAAACTAGGAACATGACCAAATACTGGTTTTCTTTTAGTCATGTCTAAGTTGCTCTCAGACTACTGATACTCTTATTTTCTTAAAATATGATAATCTGACACAAAAGCGTGTGAACCCCAAATTGATTAAAAAAAAAAAAAGACCATGCTCCTTATGGCAATTCTGCTAGATGGCACCCATTCCTGGGTGGTATACTCTGGACGTGGACACTGCCTTCTGGTGCACTCTGTTTTTACTTTTCTTCTGGCATAATGACAGGTCCTACCCCTCCTCTCTTCCAAATCTCTCAAGATGGACCACAGTCTTTCAAAGAATTCTCTATCGCTTTTCACGTTTAACGATATCCCACTTGCTGCAACCTTCAAGAGATCAGTAAATTAATATTAACTGGAAGAAATACTAACTGGAATCACCAATTTCAAGGATCTTAAGTCAGTAATTCTTGGTAGTCGTAGATGAGTTTTTTGATAAGACAGGGGTTCTCAACCTGTGGGTTGAACGACCCTTTCTCAGGGGCCGCTCAGTTCATAACAGTAGCAAAATGACAGTTATAAAGTAGCAACGAAAATAATTTTATGGATGGTGGGTCACCACAACATGAGGATCTGTATGAAACGGTTGAGGCATTAGGAAGGTTGAGAACCACTATGATAAGATATTAAACAAAAACAACTTTTCATTTTAAAGTTTTCCTTCAAACTGAAGTTTTAAAAATTCTTAAACAGAGGCAAGAAGGCCAGAATAACACAAAGTATAACAATCCTAATCCTTTCCAATAGAAAAGACTTTATACCCGCTTCCAATAGTAAAGATTGGTTTACTAGTACATTTTTTTCTAATACAATTTGAAGAGCATTAAAATGTTTTTCTTTTAATCAAATAAGCTAAGGAATGTCAAAAGAAGAAATGAACCAGCTAATTGCAAATGAGCTAATTTACGATGCTAATTTAAGTGTCATTGTAAAACACAAACAATATTTCTTTTCATAGTCAGAGCACTCAAATTGAGTGGCAAAGGGTGGCAAAGAGCACTCAAATTGAGTAACAAAGGGTGGTGGCAAAAATTCAGATAACATTTTTTCTTTAGCAAACAAGGCAGACACAGAATGTCACGCCAGACTCCATGTCCAGAAGCCAATCAGAGGAGGAGTGCAGTAACTCAGTCTGAAAGCCAGTGTGGCGCAGACTGAGCTGGACTCATGGCGGGTGGGGGTACTGTTTTCTCAATGTGAGGTTTTATTGGAATTCCACTCCCAATAGTGGTTTCTTATGGCAAGGTAAGTGACGAGAACCAGAAAACTGCAATTATTCTTACGACCAAGCCCCTCATGGACAACTAGACAAAAACAATGCCAACCTAAAACCAAAACCCCAACTAACCAAAATATTTAGAAACTGAAACAGTATGGCTAATTTTCTGGTTCAACAAGAGCTGACTGGATCTTCTTCCCCCTTGCATCAACTGTTGTTGTTGAAGCAGATGCATCACTATTTCTGAGTCTGCAAGTAGAAGAGAATCACCTTTGAAAAGCAAACACATCGTCTCTTTCTTGTAAACCCCTTTCTTGATTTCAGCTTTGTGCTCTGAACTAGACACAGAGAGTGACCTGCCCAGCAGCACTTGCTGGAGGTGAACTAGGGAAGCTGCCAAGCCTTTCCATTTAGTAAATGCTTATTGATCCTTTATTCTCTATATAGCACCCGCCATGCAGTATAAAGGATAGAGAAGCCACCTCAAGGAATCTGCCTTAATTATGAAAATCTATTACTTTTTGCTTTTGAGGTAAATTCTCTTGATAGAGAATGCATTTTCAAAAGCAAGTATAAAAGCACATTTCAAAGTTTGATCTGATTTTTATTTCCATATTTTTTTGTTCCCCACCTAGAGAATGAATACTAAATAGGATTCCTATCAATAATGGGAATTCAGCTATGATTTCTAAAACACTGTCTCCATTGGATTAAGTGGGTGGAAGAGGTGGGAGTCATCGATGAAAATCTTGGGGATATCCACGGGGAGTGGATAGAGAAGTAAAATATGTACTCTGAAAACAAAGTTGTTTTTCCCACCAATACTTTCAGGTGCTTCTGTCATACTATTGAGCAGTGTGGAACTCAAACAATGTTAAAACGGGGCACTGAGAAACATTAGTGAGCCTTATAAAACAATTTCAAGAAATTAGCAACATTTTTTTCTCCAGACAAAAGTGAACATAGATGATATTTGAGAAATATACTGAACTGAACAGAATCAGTAGCCAACTAATTACCCCAAGCCCCACATAATTCATATTATGGAAGTTTGCCTTTTATTATATTATAGAATTGTGCCTAGGGCCTGCGTGGATTGAGGGTCTAAACTCTGAGTGGAAAAGTAACTTGTAAAGCTCTAAACACAGCAAGATCCCTTTGCAACTCTGCACACAGGCTTACGCGGGCATTTTGTGTCTGCAGCTATTTGTTACCTTCGTACAATTTCACAGTAAGAGCTTTCTATTAGCCCCTCAGCTCTACCTCCTGGTGCCTTCCACACCGTCAGCATAAAACTGGGCACTGTTTGGAGTCAGACTGAGAGCTGCTCTGAACGCTGAGTCACTTTCTCCTCAAGCTGGGGCTCTAAAAACAAAGATGTTCCGTGTAGACTCTTTCAACTTTCAGTCCCAGGGCCACCATGTGTTCCGACGTGTTATTTCCTCCCTGCCGTCCGACGCCTGTCGATGACCTGTGCTCACATCCCCCAGTTCCCTACACCTGGAGGTCGACAGAGAATTCCCACACACAGGTCCTCCCAGCCCAGTGGCTTAGGTGCACGTGTTGGATAGCTCCCGGAATGCCTACCTCTAGCTTTAGAACATCATGCTGAAGTTTACGTTGAAATTCCAGGAAGTTCTTGATTGTCAGCTTCCCCTTGAGATCAGCGCCAAAGAAGTAGGTTGTGAGGGCTGAACACAAGCCCGACTTGAGAGTGTTCCCAGTGGTCGGACGATCTCTGTGCCGCATACCCATGCTGGTTTGGGAGCGGATGATGCTCTGAACCTAATGAAGAGGCCAACAAACCCCACCCAGAAACAATGAAACAGTGGGGTAGAAGTAGAAAAGTAGCTTTGTTAACGGCTTACTACATGACTGCACTGTTACAATTTTCTCTTCTAATTTTCATAGTGTTCCTATCCTGTAAATCCTATTGTTATCCTCATTTTACAGATGAGAAGGCAGAAGCATACAGAATAAATGATTACTTACGCAGGGTCATGTAGCTAGCTAGTAATAACCAGGGCTCTCACACTGAGATGCTCTGACAAAACCTCTTTTCAGAGGGAAAAACCAAACACAAACGTTTTTAAGGGTCAACATCTCTTACACAGTTATCAATCTCACGGCAATACCGTCCAGATTTAAAAATTCCACACTTCACTTCTGACTCAGCAGTTGTGGTAAGAGGAACAGCAGAACGGGAGGCAAAGACTTGATGTGTCAAGATGTAACACATTTACTGGAATGGCGAGTAAATACAAATGGCGTATGAAAGAATTCTCCAAGACATGATGGGAATTGGTTCAATCTTTGAATCAGCTTAAAAAGTTTTTTTGTTGTAGAAACTATACACAGGAAAAACATATGCCAATTTACCCATTTCTACATGTACCCCTTGGCAACACTGATCGTATTCTGTAAGCTGAGGCTCCGTTCGCACTCTAGTACTCTGAACCGCTCCTCCTCCTTCAATCCGCTTTTTGAGAAAGGAAATTTTTTTGAGACTGGAAACACGTGGTCTAACTATGCAAATGAGATTCTGAGACAAGTTTTTTACTATAGCTTGTTTTATAAAACCAGTTCCTGCAGTCATTTCTATGTCTTTGTAACCTAAATAACAATAAACAGATATCCAAAAAATTAAAACTGGAATATAGAAGGATAAATAATAAAAAATAACATCACTATCCTTAAGTGACGATTTTTAAAGTGCAAATTACAAAAACATTATATTTAAAGTGAAAGATGTATATCACAACAGATTCATCTTAAATATTTGTTGTTTTATCCATGATCTCCAACCATAAAAACTTACTTTGCTTTTCAAAAATAGCATTAGAATATTATTCTCTTACAATAAAAGGGGAGGCCTGGTGCGATAGTGGGTTACTCGTTGGACTGTTAACCACAAGGTCAGCATTTTGAATCCACTGAAGCCAGCAGCCACACCACATCAGAAAGACGAGCAAGGCTTTCCACCCGCGTAGACTGAGTCTAAGAAGCCCACAGGAGCAGTTAGTTCTACCCTGCTCTGTAGGGTCACTGTGAATTGGAATTGACTTGATGGCAGTTGAGTTTGGAATTTTATTTATTATAATAAAAAGGCCAAAAAATACCCTCCCCCCGCCCAAAAGTGCTGCTGTTGTTAGGTGCCATCGAGTCAGCTGTGACCCAGAGCCACTCCACACACAACAAAAGGAGACACTTCCTGGTCCTGCTTCCTCCTCACCATCGTTCTAATGGGTGAGACCGTCAGTCCATCTGAAGAAGGGCCTTTTTTTGCTAAACCCTCTGCTTTATCAAGCATGATGTTCTTCTCCAGGGATTGGTCTTTCCTGACAACATGTCCAAAATAAGTAGAATGAAGTCCTGACATCCTTGCCTCTCCTCCCCCCCCTCCCGCACCACCCCCATAGATGTATTCATATATACGATTCCATACCATTATCTATTAACTCAGTTTTCCACGAATTTCTGAAGCTTCCTCGTATACTTGTACACATGAGCACACACAGAGAAATGCAGACACAATGAGACATATTATTTTACATAAATGGAATTTTATCCTGTAGCCCAATCTTTTTACTTAACAGTGTGACTTGGTCAGTGTTTACATATAGAAATATGTATGAGTGTGGAGTCAAAAATGATTGCTAGTAGGGTTCCCGTCATACAGAAACAGGTTTGTTCCAAACAAAACATGCTTAAACAATGTCTCTAATCAGCGGATGGCTGCAGACAGGTTCCCTCAAAAATTCACTTATCTAGGTGTTATTAGGGTGCCTTCAAAACATGCTCCAATCAAAACTGGCTTCCAAGGGGGTCTGCTGGGCCAGTGAAATTCAAGGCAAAGATGTCAACTCAGAAAGTTAAAGTGACTATCTTTTGGGATTTCAAGGGGTCATGGTCATGCTAACAGATTTTGTCAAAGACCAGAGAACATTAACAGGGCTTACTGGAAAAAGGTTTTAACAAAACTGGAAACTCTTGGTGAGAAAAGGCCAAGAAAGTTACACCAATGAATTTCTCCCTCCATCATGACAGCAACTGTTCATTCTTCAATCATAGCAAGGGCTATCTTTGGGAATTTTGTTGGGAAACCTTACTTCATCCATACTAGAACCATGACTTCTTTTTGTTCCCCAAACTCAAAGGAACATGGTTCGAATCCCTCAGGAGTGCCTGAACTGCTATTTTGATAAGGTGTAAGTTGAAGAACACAGAACTCTTCTGGGAAGTGTTAAACTCACTGCCATCAAGTTGATTCTGAGGCTCATATAGAACAGGGCAGAACTGCCCCTCTGGGTTTCCAAGGTTTTAACTCTTTCTGGGAGTAGAAAGCCTTGTCTTTTCTTTTTTTTTTTCATGGAGCAGCCGGTAGTTTGGGTAACCTTGTGGTTAGCAGCCCAACTCGTAACTACCATGTCACCCACCAGTGCTCTATCACAGAAGAGTTGTTAGGGGCTGTCAACTTGGTTCTGACTCACAGCGACCTCGGTCCAACGGAATGAAACCCTGCCCTGTCCTGCTTTGTGATGGGTCCTTGGATCAGATCTCTGCTGTAGTGGGGGTACATGGACTCCTGCAGGACAGACCACTTGCCTGTTCAAACTCCTCCATGTCTACTTCTCCATCTCCGTTCAAGTCAAACATCTTGAAGGCAATTTCGAAATTTCTCTGAGGAGCTGAGAGTACAGAGGAAGAGAAGAAGGAAGACGTGAAGGAAGGAAAGAAGGAAAAAGAATTGGAATCAAGGAAAGGAGGAAGGAAAAAGGAGAAAAAAGACATTGGCTTAAAAAAAACTTGTGCAAGAAAAATATGGTTAACCAATACAACAAAGTCACACCAGAATCATAAAACTCCTGTATTTACCTACAGCACAGTTTTACACACTTATTTGGCGTACTGCTCCTTTTCAGAAAGATAAGTTACTCAGTGCCCTGGCAATTAAAATTTTTTTCCTCTAGCCTGTAATCCAGGATTATAGGTATCTGCTTTTGCAGCGCTCCCTGGGTCATTCCAGCACCGCCCCACCCTTCCAGGGGGAAGTATCAGTCACTCTGAGAAATACTGGTCCAGGCCAGTCATATAACAAGACTTAAAACCAGCAGAGTCTGGCTGTTATGACAGCAATTCTCTATCACTGCATTACTTTCTATCTTAAATATATTTAGTTGGCTTTCTTAGACACAATCTACTTGGTTTAATATTAATGCTTTTTTATGATGCTTATAGCATTATTTACTTGGGTAATAAGTTCTGAGTTAAGACATACAGTTGGAAACTAACAAGCTGAAAATCGAAGTCTCTGTCTTGCGGACCAAGCTAGCTTTCTCCTGTGTTCTGTCTGGTCTCTCCACTGTTAATATCTCCACTGTTAGTATCATCAGGAGTCTTGAAGATGTCATTCTGTCAACAGATTTATCACTTACTAGTTTACTCATTATCACTGAAGTTCTGTATGGTTAGGCAGAAAAGCTCACTGTAATTTCTTAATAAGAAATCCTGGTGGTGTGGTGGGTAAGCACTGGTTGTTAACTGAAAAGCTAGCAGTTCACCTAGAGATTATGCAGGAGATACTGGCAGCCTGCTCCACAAAGATTATAACCTAGGACACCCCATGATTCGACTCAATGACACCCAATAACTATTACTCTCTCTGCCATCGAGTCAATTCGGACCTTATATACAAGGCAGGGTAGAATTGCCCCTGTGGGGCTCTGATACCATAACTTATGGGAGTAGAAAGCTTCATCTTTCTCCCAAAGAGCAGCTAGAGGTTGTGAACTGCTAACCTCGTGGTTAGCAGCCAAACGTGTAACCCACTATGCCGCCACGGCTCATAGTAGTGGTGGTGGTACAAAAATGACTGAGAAATTTACACTTAAATGCTAAAGTGAAGCTAAAGTTTAAAAAGGCAAATTGAAAATTGGAAAGCCTAATAGGGAAAATTTCTCTCAATGGAAGCTTTTGTTGCTTGTATTATTTAAAAAGAGGTAGTATAAATTGGGGCTCAAAGTAGTTACATGATTAATTTAAAATTACAACACTAATATGTGACAGAAGTGGTAGACAAACCTGGTTCAACACTGATTGCAAACTCCATAATCTTTTCATTAAGTTACATGGCTTCCAATATAAAGAGACAGTTATGATAATAAAAGCATACTCTTTACTCTGATATATTTTGACCTAGACACAGAACAAACTCACTGGTTGTATAGGTTTGGAGTACTGCCCACTGCTCAGCTCACTCCACATTCTATGCCCAGCACTTTGGGCTGCACCAACTGGAGACCCATAGGTGACATGGGATCCTCAGACATGTGTTTTACATGCCTTTAAAAATTCTGAATATGAATCTCTTAAATAGGAATGCCTTCTTCTGCTTTTCCTTGTTGTCTCACATTGGCCCACTTTATTCTTTTGTTTTTTTCCTTTACTAGTTAGGAATTCTTCAATTTATAAAATTTGACATAGAATTCATCTGAGCATACTCTTGCTTTAAAAATCCTTTGTTTCAGGTGAAAGTTTACTATCATAGATGATTATTATAAGCTGTCCAGTCTACCCTAGTAAGCCCACTAGAACGATATACTACCCCATCTCCTCATCCTTCCTGTGCAGCTTGAACTTCCTTCAATACCATCGGTTCTTGATCACATATGCTACCTCTTGAAATGGCTAAATGGCAACCAATTATTTTTGGTGCCGTAACTCTGTATATTCTTATTTTCTTTTGATACTTCCTTTATCATTCACTATTTGCCTTCCCCATAGGGCGCTATGAGTCAGAATTGGCTTTGATAGCAATAATTTTTCTTTTTGAGAATCTGACTTAACCTGTAATCTCAGGTGAAACCTGTCCACTATGGGTGAACTTGCTGGTATTTGAAATATTGGTAGCTTAGCTTTCAACATTACAGAAACACCCAAGTCACCACCATAAAAACCAAACTCATTGTCATCAAGTCAATACTGACTCAAGGAGGCCCTTCAGGACAGGATAGAACTGCCCCTGTGGGTTTCCAACCCTGAGGAGCTGTTGGTGGTTTCAAACTGCTGACCTTGAGATTAGCATCCCAGTCCTAACCCCCTTTGCCACCAGGCTCCTCCGCCTACCACAGTGCTGAGCAAACACTCTTGAGTCCTGGGACTACATGAAGAACACCCAATTAGAATTGAAGGAAGATTCATTAGCAAGCTGTGATATGTAAATGTCACAAATTTGTCTGAAGCACTTGGTTTGCTAACTACCAGCTGATGATTTAAACTAGTCAGCTGCTCCATGGGAGAAAGATGAGGCTGTCTGCTCTTGTAAAAATCTTCAGCCTTGGAAACACTATGTAGGGATCTGAGTTGGAATCAACTAGACGGTAGTGGAATGAAGATCAAAGACGACTATAGCCTTCAGTGTGGACTATACCTAAACACAAAGAAAACTAAAATCCTCATAACTGGGCCAATAAACAACATCATGATAAATGGAGAAAAGATTCAAGTTAACAAGAATTTAATTTTCTTTGGGTTCCAAATAAATACCCAGGGAAGCAGCAGTCAGGAAATAAGTGATGTACTATATTTGCATAGCTGCTACAAATGATCTCTTTAAAATGTTGAAAAGCAAATATGTAGTTGGAAGATTAAGGTGGGCTTGACCCAAAACATGCACCTTATTTATATGCACTGGAAGCTAGCTAGACGATGCATACGGAAACTCTAAGAAGGACTGATGCTTCTCAATTATGGTGTTGGTGAACATTGGATATACCATGGACTGCCAGAAAAATGAACAAATTCATCTTAGAAGAAGTACAACCAGAATGCTCCTGAGAAGCAAGGGTGGGGAGACGCTTTCTCACGTACTTTGGACATATTGTCAGGGAGGTCACTGCCTGGAGGACACCACGCTTGATAAAGTGGGAGTCAGCAAAAAAAGAGGAAGACTCTCAACCAGACGGGCAGACACCGTGTCGTCAACAATTTCAGGCTCATCATAAACTTTCATTCTCGGTGCCCTTTAGTTCCTTGAAGACACATGCCTGGCACATTTAAATACTTCCTTCTACAGGTAAGATCAAATGGATTTGACCAAATAAAGCACAGTGTTTCTGCATCTTTTTATCCTGTCTGATTTGCTGTCAAGGAGTTCTTGGGTGGTGCAAATCATAAGGCACCCAGCTTTTAGGTGAAAGGTTGGCAATATAAAATCCACCCAGACGTACCTCCACAGAAAAGGCTAGTGATCTACTTCCAAAAAAGCCTGCCAGCAAACATACTGTACAGGTAGTTCTGCTTTGTTACACAACGGGTCACCACGTACTGGAATTGACTTACTTACTGGCAACTGCTTTGTTTGCTTAGTGACTCTCAAGGAGGATATTAGCTTTAGTTGGAGATGCTGCAGAGCTAATGTGGACTCACAGCAACTCACATGACAGTCTTCTAAGCTGTAATTTAGCTTAGGGCAGATTGTCAGGCCTTTCTCCCACGGAGCCCCTGAGCTCATTAGAACCAGCAACCTTTTAGTTATTCATCATTGTGCCACCAGAGCTCCTAAGGTGGAGCTACTTTGAAGGCTGAAATTCGATGCCCTGGTCACTGAGAAGGCAAGGCAGGGAAAGAGATCTGCATGTCATTATTATTATTCAGGCCAGGCTAATCCATCAGGGAAGAATTTTCTTTTTAATTAGCATATACTTCACATACCAAAATACTTTATCATTCAATTACATTAAGAAGATCTGTGCAATCATCACCACAATTAATTTCAGAAGGTTTTCTGCTTGTATTCATTGTCATTAGCTCCCCATTTCCCCACATCCTCCTCAGCCATACCGCTAGGTAATTAGCAACCCAGATTTTGTCCCTTTAGATCTACCTATCCTAGGCTTCATTTGTAGTAAATTATATGAAATAGTCATGCAACCAAATGAACAAAAACAACAATGACTATACAAAACATAGAAAACCCTCCATTAAAAGAAAGCGTATCATGCCAGGCAGGTGAGCATCTCAGACTGCCAAATTGTTAGACCAAAGTGTTCTTGTGTTGGGGGAGTACTTGTGTAGGGGCCCACTGTC